CCTTTTTAAATTCCACTCGACGGCTTGGTCTGATCTGACGAGAGATATCCCTGGACCGTCTTCTCAGTATATGTCCAATCCAATCCAAACCATCTCCGGTTACTTCTACATATTTGTTGGGCGATGAGTTGTTGGATGTTTCGTTGTCAGCCTGCCAGCCAGAGTTCCTTGTTGCTGATTCTTTCTGGTCATCTAATCTGATCTTCAGTGTAGAGTGAGCGTAGGCGGCAGCTGCTGATGATGTATGTCTGTTGTTTGTTGTAAATGGAATGTTAATGTAAGGCGTCGAGTTTCTGAACCATCACACAGAAGCACTGACTGATTTGATTGTCGTTAGTGTTGGAAATCCGGATGTTGTTTAAGCTTTATGGTGAGTGCAGTGCAGCAGATGTCCAATCTGATTATTCCAGATTATTGAAGACCAGTCTTGGTGTTTTTCGGATCCTGGCTGCTTTGACGTCCTCATGTGTACCTGTGCCACCTGTGGTTGAGACGATGCCGCCTAGGTAGATGGGTAGGTGAAAGAGGCAACTACGTTTAGATTTCTGCCGTTGATGTTGATTGGTGCTAGTTGTTGTTGTTGGTTTGGTATCTTCATCACCTGTGTCTTTTCTATGTTCACTTGATGTCGCATCTTCGCTGCCTCTTTTGTGAACTTGTTGGTTTTTGCTTGTATGTCTTCGAGTTTGTGCTACAAGACATGAGACATAAATCATCATTGGTAGGATCGAAATCTTCTTGTAGGGTCTGTTCATCAGTTTAGCCGACGTATGCCTCTCTTCTCATTCCTGACAGTTTCTTGCATAATCCAGTCCACCAGAATCATTTGTATGGACTGTACTCGATAGCGAACATTAACAATTAATTCTGATTATCTTCGATATTTCTACCAGTGTAATATGACGCTTTTCACATCAAAAGATGTATTTGTTATAGGCATCATTCACTGATGAACTGTATTATTAGCGTTTTTACTAAAACTATTGTATTCCCGTAAAGATGATTACTTATCTAAGGTTGGGATAACTCATTGTATTCAATGAAGAGGGACTACTTAACTTTCCAAGAAGCGTCTAAATTATTGTGCAGTTTATACATATTTTCTAGTCAGAAGCATAAAGATATATTCAGTCTGATATTTTGTACTTTTTAAAACTTGACTGTCCATGATTTATAAGTTGACGATAAGCTGTGTTTCTGTCTGTAGTTAGTATATTGTTCTATCCTGTTAAATGACTATCAGAAATGGCCATACAAAATAGAAGTCATAAAATGGTTACAGGTTTTTGGTCACAGATGTTTTCATAATACTAATCGATGAAGTCCCTGACTATAGATGTGAGACGTGTAAGGAGGTACAGATTCCTTGGTTGGGGTTCCTGAGATGATGGAAATCAATGTTTGAGGACTCTAAGTGATATGACTAAAAATAAGTCGCAGTATGGAACGATTGAATTCACTCCTTCACTTTTTATCACTCTCAAAATTTTAATTCTTCACTTACCGTTGTCTTCCTTGTTTTTTATATAGTACTGGGAATTGTGGCGATATGGAACGATGCACTTCTATATGAGGTTCCAACTTCCATTTTCATCGGTTTGACTGGTCACAAGATTTCCATAGTAAAGCTGCAGTCACAGAAATATTTAGTTTTTTACCTACTTTTTACTGATTATTCCTAATTTGAAGCAATGTTTAATAAATTAAACCGTTAGTATCAAAAAATATGCATAGTGAAATACCTATCCAGCAGAAGACCCATTACAGTGTATCCATTCTCAAGCTGTACATTCCAATGACGTTTTAAGACCACACTCCATGACGAAAATTAAACTGAAATTATAAGACATTCAGATCACTATTGTGGTGGTCATAATTATAATCATGTTGCTAGACTGATGACGCAAGAGTTGAATGATAATATAATAATGAAAACGCGTAATTAAGACTTTCTAAATCATTCAGAAACCTACGCTCGTTACTGAAGATCAGATAGCCAGAATAATGAGAATAAGCAAGAACCCATCGCTCAACATATATGCAGAAGGAAGTGGAAGTAGAGATGGATTGGGTATACACTGAGAAGGTCGACTGGGGACATCACATATCAGACCAGGCACTCGAGTGGAACCCAGATGGAAGGCGACGAGTTGGGTGTTGGAGGTGAGGGTGACATGGAGGAGATCGTGTGAGGAAGAAATGAGAGCTTGTGGGCAGATGTGGAACCAGGTTGAAAGAGAAGATTTCAGAGAACAGAGTGTACTGGAGACGTGCTACTGAATCCCTATGTTCCATTAGGAACCCAAGGGACAAATAAATAAATATAAATAAATCATTCAGAGGGTGTATACAGATTACGATGTGACAAAAATATGGTAGAACTGATAAACAATCAAAGTGTTAGGTAATATGACAAGTTGATGACAAATCGATTGGGATAAATTGAAAATGTTTTGTGAAAAGTCTAAATTATTAACACAATCGAATGAAGTAATACCTGAAGAATTAAATATAAAAATAATAATGATACTGAAGATATAAGAGTATAAGATATTAGAGTATTATCTAACATTAGGAGAAGTCGGAACACACATTTATGAAACGAAACTTCAGGCTTTCATTTATGGATAGCCAAGGCTTCTGCTATTCTCAGAAGTCGAAGATGCAGAAAATCTTAATGAATGTTTGAAGAAATTGGATAGACAATGTTTAAATCTTTGATTGGGTCAATAAAATGGTTGAAGTTGATTAAATGTTCACGAACAAAACTTTTAATACATTTTCTTTCACTTTTATAAAATCAAGTTGAAATATGTTTTTAGATATAAACTTATAGAAATTTCTGACTAAGCATATTGTACTTTGCTCCATGGGAGCAGGTGAACCGGTAGATAGACAAAAAGGTGTTGCTTGTCGAATAATATTATCTTTTACAGAAATGAAGAACAATTTATGAATAGTAAAGGTAAAATCAAGTTTGACTGGTTAAAAAGTTTTACTATTTCGTCTTAAAAGATGAATTTGCAGGATATCTGATACTACATCACCTTAAAATTTCAGATTCATGAACAGAAATAGTTTTAGAAACTTAGATAATGACTATTTTCTTATGTCTTTCCTGCATATTTTTATCAACAAACTGCTAAGGATAGTTGGTTATCAACTCCAACCATTTTATTGACCCAATCAGTGATTTAAACATTGTCTATCCAATTTCTTCAAACATTCATTAAGATTTTCTGCATCTTCGACTTCTGAGAATAGCAGAAGCCTTGGCTATCCATAAATGAAAGCCTGAAGTTTCGTTTCATAAATGTGTGTTCCGACTTCTCCTAATGTTAGATAATACTCTAATATCTTATACTCTTATATCTTCAGTATCATTATTATTTTTATATTTAATTCTTCAGGTATTACTTCATTCGATTGTGTTAATAATTTAGACTTTTCACAAAACATTTTCAATTTATCCCAATCGATTTGTCATCAACTTGTCATATTACCTAACACTTTGATTGTTTATCAGTTCTACCATATTTTTGTCACATCGTAATCTGTATACACCCTCTGAATGATTTATTTATATTTATTTATTTGTCCCTTGGGTTCCTAATGGAACATAGGGATTCAGTAGCACGTCTCCAGTACACTCTGTTCTCTGAAATCTTCTCTTTCAACCTGGTTCCACATCTGCCCACAAGCTCTCATTTCTTCCTCACACGATCTCCTCCATGTCACCCTCACCTCCAACACCCAACTCGTCGCCTTCCATCTGGGTTCCACTCGAGTGCCTGGTCTGATATGTGATGTCCCCAGTCGACCTTCTCAGTGTATACCCAATCCATCTCTACTTCCACTTCCTTCTGCATATATGTTGAGCGATGGGTTCTTGCTTATTCTCATTATTCTGGCTATCTGATCTTCAGTAACGAGCGTAGGTTTCTGAATGATTTAGAAAGTCTTAATTACGCGTTTTCATTATTATATTATCATTCAACTCTTGCGTCATCAGTCTAGCAACATGATTATAATTATGACCACCACAATAGTGATCTGAATGTCTTATAATTTCAGTTTAATTTTCGTCATGGAGTGTGGTCTTAAAACGTCATTGGAATGTACAGCTTGAGAACTGATACCTTATAATAGATCCTCTTCGCTGTATATCTTTTATTTAGAGATACACCACGTAGCTGACTTATGAGGAACTCTACAAAAAGTGTTTGATTGACAGGACAGCTTGTTAAGTTGGTTGTTTGTGGCTACCAGAGGAATCTGCGACGCGCGTTTCATTCTATTTGCATCTCGTGAGGTGGATGTTCCTGTACCTCAATTAGAGATGTTGTTCTCACTAAGACTTGTACCTATCGCTTCAAAGGCCAAGACGTTATCCACTATGCAGCGGAGGAATGGCAACCACTTCTTGTATTAGTTGTTATTATCTATTGATGCACTTGTAATTCTCCGTTGTTTTATTGGATGGAATTGTTCCACCTCTATTTTCATACGGGCTTCTAAGCGGTTGCGTCGATATTGCCTAATTGTTAAGTATGGTAATTTAGTTGGTTGTGGCCAGCCGAGGAATCCAGGACGGGCATTTCGTCCTATTTGGGACTGGTCTGTTTGTCTAACAATTTGATTCAATAAAAACAACGGTGAAATGCATGTATATCAATAAATGGTAAGAAAAGCACTTTTTTTTAAAATTTAGGTGATAATTAATTAAATTACGATTCTTAAGAATTTTATCACTACTCATTTGTTTTCCGTAACTGCTAATATGAACTGTTTACTACAAAAATGTTACCAGTTGACATAGACCAATCAATTTCCAATGATTGAAATGTATACCATTGTACAATATCCAATCAAACAGCAGTTTCTTTTAAAAACTGTCGAATCATAAATAAATAAACCTAGGTCACTTCAGTTAACCAATCAAAATTCAGACTTTATAGCACTCAGAAATCTACTTATTCTCTGATTTTTACCTAAATTTTAATATCTATTTTAATTCACACAAACATAAAGTTTTTTTTGTTTCTCAGGGGATTTATTGATAAAATAACTTAACAACTTGTAACTATAATCAATGTTCATTTTGTAAAAAAATGGATTTACTACTATAAATGTTAGATATACACACCTTAATCGATACGATGCTTAGTTACCTATTTAGGTAGCATAAAGGAAAAACTCAATCACTCTTCTTAGCTAGGTGTTAGTATTTATTTTAAAAATGTCCACTGTATGCCATGAAAATACTACTCATAAAAAGGTAAATTATGTCATTACAACACGAAGCGAAAAGACGATCACGTTTCAAAATCAAGTATAGAAAGAAGTCTACTCCTCAAGTACCTTTAGTTATTGTAGAACAATGTGATCTAGAATCTACATACACTAGTCATAATCATAGTACAACAAATTGTCATCATCACAGTTGTGATCCTGATTTGGATTGTACATCTTCACAAGACCCATTGACACACTCAAGATTATGTCGATCTGAAAGACATTCATTGAATTACATTCCTGATCATCAGATAGACAACTTAACAAATGTTTTACATAAATGGAATTCTTGTTCTGAAGTTAAACAGATCGACTTATCGAATGAATTCGATGTAAATATTCAGAATGATGTAGACAATCTTGAAAAATGTAATTCTAACAAAGTAGTATATGATTATTCTCATGGAGAAGAGTTTTCCAGAGTTTCACCAACAGATGAACAATTGAATATATCAACTCAACTCAATTATTCATCTGTTAGTTTGTATTTAAGTAAAACAATGCTTCAGAATGCTTGTAATTTTTGTCCAGCTACTATTCAACGATCCAAAAGGATTGAAACTGTTAAACAACGTCAACCGAACAATTCACTAGAAAGCAAAGATCATTCTAGAAAACCCATAGCATCTTCTATTGAAGATAATATTGGTAATAGACTACAATCAGTGTGTAGATTGTTGGAAGACAATATTTTACACCAGAATATGGCGGTATATTCATATATAGATGGAGAAACTATTGCAACTTCATCTTCATGTCATTGTTTCTCTGTTAAACAAGATGATAACAGAATTTTTACACTTCCATCGATTGATATGAGAACTAATCTGACCATTTCTAGTTCATGTTCATCGTTCAATTCATTAGGAGCATTGAGTAGTCCACCGTCTTCACGCATGAGTGATACTATTCTCAACGATAACAATACTACTAATACTGATAATAACAATAGTAATGTTAAGCGTTATAATCGTAAAGTTATTACGAGTAATCCTTCATCATATTTACAATTGCCGATAGTAACATCTACATTCGATAGTAATGCCAATAATCCATTGAAAGTGAGTACTTATATAAATACTGAGTATGATGTAATTAATGACTGTAGAATAAAACCTGAGAAATCACTGACTTCAACAACTACAACTGCAACAACAAATAAATCAAGAATTAAGAGTCTTGGTGATATTTTCAAATTTCCACGTCTATCAGTCAGTAGTGATTTGTATCCTAAAAAAAGTTCTACTTATCAAAACATTAATAAAATTGATACAGATAATAATCATTATAATACTTCAAAATATGAATCACCAATTACTACTATTACTAATGATAGTAGTTTGAGACGGGATCCAAATTTTTTGACAGTACCAACTGAAACTTTTATGCGAAATACTTTTCAAGAATGTAATAAACATGTGAGACATTCAACGGATTATGTGTGCCAACGGCAACAACTACATGATCCAGATGAAAAGCAACAACGAACTCAACGAGCTGTTTCAGTTGATATGAGTCAAGGAAATCATTCCCTCCTACAATATGATTCATCTAAGATAATAAATATGAAATATGCAAATTGTATACAATCCTTATATTATTCAGGATACAATAAATCAAGGCAAGTATTAATATATAAGGATTGTCCCGTACTCATATATTCAATACAAATGTTGATCTGTTCTGATCCGGTCTACTTTTGGACTAGGAGTACATAGATAACACAGTCTTGTGAAATAAAAAACTCCGACAACACTACTTTCAGAATTAATCTACGCACACCCTAATATGAAGGACTGGTGGTGGAGTGGTAAAATGTGTTGACTACTTTACTTATCTAGGAGGTTGCTTTTTCCTTTTATAGGCTGGTTAAAACTTGAAACTTACGATCATATAACAGTAGCCGATGGTAACCATCTCCGTCACCAGGGAGATATCTGACTCTAAATCAACAGGCAAGTGTTAGATTGTTAACCTTAGTAAGTTAGATCAGCTGATGATGTTATGAATCTTCTTTGACTGGAACTCTTGGACATGTTCTGTACAGTTGATCAAGCTCTCTGACATACTCTGTTAACAAAGTAGGAGTAGTCTGAAGGGAAGCTAAAGTTTGTTAGACCGAAATGTGGTAAGGAACAATGTTATCGTTGACTGAGATTTTTAGGCGTATAGATAGATTTAGGCTGCCTTCGAAATGTTAATGATGAAGAGTTAGATACAATCAATTAATTTTGTTGTAAATCATTTACAACAATGAGATGGTATCATTTTTTATCATCTTGAGAATTTTAAATATTTTAGTGAACTTCATAGATATTCTAAATGTTCATTTTAACACGATTGTGTATCAACTCACTTATTTTTGGCTTTACTCCCATGAAATATGATAATATGATATAATACAATCCTATGCAGTGAACACAGGACAAAGTCAGGTAGAAGCAACTATTCTCCGTTGATAATGAATAATGTCATAGCATAGACTGATTACTCTGTATATTTATTAGGGTTGCAACACAGATACTGAATTCGCTTTATTTTTCAGCATATATGCAAATGTTTTTTCTTATGATGTAGATATCAGTCAAACTATCTATCATGGTATATAATCTCTGAGTGTGGGCTGAGCGATTGAAAACTAGGTGAATGAATTTTTTCTTATTTTACGTGTGTAAAAGTAATGTATTTTAAATTCTATAGGATTTTATTTCTAAGGTTGTATTCATCATTGTAAAGATGGATGTTCGTTAGCAGTGAAATCCAGGATGTGCATTTCGTCCCATTTAGGACTCTCCAGCTGGATGTACTTGCCTCCCAGTGAGTGATGTTGTTCCCACTAAGATTCGGACCCAGGAGCCATGGCTTCAAGAGCGAGAGAGTTGTCCACAACATCACCGAGCCACAATAGCCGCTTCTTGTGCGACGGGTGTAGTTTTAGTATTATTACTTGTATCACACCGCCTCTGACTGGACTGAATTGATCAGTCTCCGTTGGCATGTGGGTTCCTATGTGGATGCCTCGATATTGCCTGTGTTTTAATTAGGCATAGTAATGATGAGTGGTGGCTAGCAGTATAATCCAGGATGCCCATTTCATTCTGTTTAAAACTCGTCAACTGGATGCACCTGCTTTCCAGTGAGTGTTGTTCCCACTGGGAATTGAACTCGGGAGCGATCGCTGACATCAGTTGAGGAACCTTCAAAATCCTAGGTGAACTGTAAAACTGTTTTGTTCTGGGTTGGTGTCATTTCATAATGAATACAACCTTAAAAATGCAATCCCCGTAAACCCCAAACCACATTACTGTATAGTACTCATTAGCGACGAGCTTCGAAATGGATATCCCGAAGTTCCAGTGAAAAGTCTTAACAAGTGAGGTCAGAAGGGAACCAAATGCCAACTGAACACCTAGGTCAACAGCCACGCTACATCGCGAACTGATAGAAATAGGAAATTGTGGAGCATTGGATTCCGACCAAGTGGCTGAGTGGTGAACGCCTTCTTTATGAAACCTGAAGATCCTTGATTCGACCTCTGATGGTAAAAAATGGAGCTGTCAAGTTCTAAGTGTTCAAGGCTTCCTACGAATTGAGTCTTAACATTTAACTCCAATTTTCGTATATTTCCTTTTGAAAAAATCAACACATTTTTCAGTAATGAAATTATTATAAAAACATGACAAGCAATTTCTTCAGACTGTCTAACAATCTTTTCTTTGAAAATATTTAACAGTAAGTGATGATTGGTGATGATTTAGAAATCTGGACCGTGGCAGGATTCGAACAAGCGACGTTTGGGTTGCCAGCGTTCTGCCAACTGAGCTATGAGACCGATATACACCAGATTCTAACTGTATTACACTTATCAAAGGTTTTAATCAACAGTAACTGAGTGTCATAGCACAGTTAATAGATCACTTGGTTAGTAACGCAGAGGTCACTAGATCAACCTCTGCCGCTGCCCGCATTATCATTTCACCTTCAATCATCATCTAATATTAATCTAAACCATGGCTACCTTAGGCAACCGGACCGATAGTAGAAGGGAGTATTATTTAAGCTATTGTTTTCTAGGCTATCAGTATTCATCACCTAGACATAGGCTTAGTTTTTCATTATCTTTCACATAAAATACCTGAAGATTGTCTATTCAGATTTTTATATATCATTATATGAATTTATGAAAAGACTTTGAAACTTTTCAAAGTGTAATTATTAATCCAGTTTTTGTATTTCTTCATTTGACTTTATGTTGTGGAGCTAAAGTCCAGGCTGATTTTTTAGCATATAACCAGGAGATTTATTTATTGTAGTATACAACTTTAGACTTGATCACTAGGTATTTAGATGTAAATCAATTTGTAGATATCCAAACAAAGTTGGAATTTGATAAGTTGAAAAAAGATTGGGGATTGGTTAAATGGTATTCATTATTTTATTATTTACCAATAAATAAAAAAGTGATATTTTGCAGTTAGTTTAGTGCTAACCATTGTTGTTAAAGTACTCGTAATTTCCCATTACTATATAGGACCAAATTGTTAATTGGGAACGATATCACTCATGAGGTTGTAGGTACATCGAGCTGACAAGTCCCAAATAAGGAAAAAAAAATGCGCGTCCTGCATTCCCCTGTTAGTTATTTAGATAAATATTAGTGATAACAGTCTTATCAAAGTCATAGTGGACTTTCTCAAACCACCAATAGGCAATTATCCTTCCTTGATTGTCTAGTCCGGCGAAAAGAATGTGAATATTTTGTGTAAAGACGGTTTTACGAGAATGCTACACACTTAAGTTTATTTTATTATTATTTTTCCCTAGTGGGACATAGGAATTCAATAGCACACCTCCATTTCACTCTCTCCTCTACAGTCTTTTCAAATTGGCTCAACCACTTCCCACAAGTTTTCATCTCTTCCTCACATGATCTCCTCCATGTCACCCTCGCATCCGATGCCAACTCGTTGTTTCCCCTTTAGATTCCACTCGACGACCCGGTTCGGCCTGACTCATGATGTCCTCAGTTGGCATTCTCACTGTATGTCCAATCCATCTCCACTTCCACTTCCTTCTGCATATTCGTTGGGTGATAGGTTCTTGATTGGTTCGTTGCCTGAGTGAGTTCGTTGTTGGTTATTCATATTATTCTGTCCATCTGACCTTCAGTAACGAGCCAGAGTAGACAGTTATTGATGAATGTCTATAGTTTATTGGAAGTGCTTTTCGTGACCCTCCAAGCTTCTGAACCATCACAAAGAAGCACTGGCTTGACTGAATTGGTGTTGAAAATCCGGATCTTGTTCATGCTGTATGCTGAGTACAGATCTCTACACTGGTTTTCAAGTTAATAAAGACCTGTCTTGCTTTTCCCATCCTTGTTTTCAAACCCACATCTGTGCCGCCTTTAGTTGAAACAGTGCTGCCTAGGTAGATGAAAGAGGTAACTTCCTTTAAGTTTCTCCCGCTGATGGTGATTTGACCTTGTCTATATTATTGGTTGGGTATCTTCATCAGCTTCGTCTTCTTTATGTCCACTTGAAGTCCCTTCTTCTCTGCCTCGCCTCTTCTGTCAACTTGTTAGATTTCGCATGTAGGTCTTCTAGTTTGTGTGACATCAGACACAAGTCATCAGCGAGATGCAAATCTTCTAGGATCTTCATCCCGGTCCAGCGTATCCCCTACGTTTTTCAATGACACCATCTAAATTCATAAAATGTGACTAATTGTTTGAGATCTCAGAAACGTTGAAAAACGTCATAGAATTGCTAGATAGATAACTAGATAGGCTGTATTTATTTAACAGGGCAGTACATCTAAGCGCAATCATTTTTACGGAAAATACCTTTTCTTAAAGAAGGAGAAAATTCGATGGTAACCTTCACTGCAAATTAAGGTTAATCAGAATATCATTCACTGTAGTATTTTAGGACCTACCAGAATTGCGAACCTATGGTTTCCAGGTTTCGATACAAGTACGCTACTTTTTATTCGCTGGCTTGCACATTATATGTATACTTATTTGCTTGTAGTATAGACGAATAGGATCAGTGGTTGGGGACTCTTGATTACATGACTAAAAATCACTCCTTGATATCTTCAAAAGCTTAAATATATGCACTAACCGCTATTTATTCTCTCATACAACGTTGCCTCGTTTGCTATCACTCTTTTTCTATCCCTAAGTTGTTTGTGTATTACTGTGGAGCTTAGCAACTCAGACCGATGCACTTGTGTGCAGAGTTCTGCCTCGATTTTTTCTGTTCTTCTGCTGAATATTTAAAGTATTCGGGATGAAAATTCTACTTATAGAATCTAAACTGCCAGGAACATGCTTCGATAGATGCTTAACCTTTTATATATTTGATGAGTGGAATAGAAAAGATAACACCAAGCTTCTTCTCTTTCTACCGTTCTAAAATAAAAGTTTTGTTCACCGGATCAAAAGAATATGACTAATAGACACAATGTATTTCTCCTAACTGTACTTTTGATACTTTGTCTAACAAAGAAAACGTCTTTGAGAAATTGAGAACGTAACTTAGCAATGTCGAAGAAGATAGTTATACACAAAAATTCCCTTCGTAAACTTTCGTCAATAGCTTGATGATAAAGCCTCCC